TATATATATATATATATATATATAATCAACAATTGCTGCCTGGGCAGAGGTCTGCACTCTCGGAGTGCTTTTCTAGTTTTGTTTATTTTCCTTAATAACTTTTTTCTCAAACACTTGCATTTGTGATATTTAACCGCCTGAAGCTCTGCACATTTTCTGTATTTCCACATAAGCAGTTGTATGTTATTTATGTTTTCAAACATTATGTAATATTATTTTATGCACTGTCATCATTTTTCAAATATTGAGACTTTCATCATGTGACTTTGGTCTCTCATGGTCCTGATACTGTAATCTTATTGAAGGGATGGATTGAGACCATCTTCTGGGTCAGCTTCCGGAAGACGTTCGGATTTTTAAGTTTATATTGACTGATATTTATTTTTTTTTCTGTTGGAAGATCATCAAAATAGAGGATGGATCAACAAAGATACTTTGGAATACTGTCAGAAAATATCTCTGGGTCAGCTCCTGTTATTGACCATGTTACCTGTTGTGCATGATTAAAATTCAGTGTTGACTAACAGTGCTATTATAAGCATTATTTATTATTGCATCAAAATTGGCAAAATGACCTATTTTGCATCATTATTTTCTGTTTTTTGTCTGTACATTTGACAGCTTTGCTGCCTTGTTTTCTGTGTTTGTCTGTAGCAGTATTCCTATTTTCCTATATAGACCATGTCAACAGTTCTAACTGTCCATAGACGTGTAGATAATTTGATATTTTTTATCAGATATTTATCATTTAAAAGTCAGTTGTGATAATTATGTGGTAAAGCTTAGGTTGGACCAAAATTGTGCAGACAGTTTTTATGCAAACATCTTTTCTTTTTGTAAGATGTTATTTTTATCATTGAACAATGTAAAATAGTTTTTTTTCCCTGTAAAACAAAGGAGTGTTTATCTTTTTAAACAGCTTCTCCTGACCAGTGAAGCTTAGCGGATGTATCCATGTATTTGATGGTTTTTCAGGGTGAAATGTTTTTTTTTTTCTTTCAAATTTCTCAGAAATCAATGGTGTAACCTAAGAAAAGGTCTTCTGGTGGATGCATTGTGAAAGATATGTTCTTTGTGTTATTTACTGAAAATAAATATTTAAAAAAAATCCATTTTGTGCAGAGTTTGTTTTATTGTACTCACAAACTGAAGGCTCCGCATTGGTAGACTAAGATACCAAGAGGGGAGGGGGAAGTAAGTTAAACTAGTGTCACAATGAAAAAAATCGTCAGAATCAACTCTGTGCCATAACATCACTTGTCCAGGAAAAATGCGTTTGTTGAGTGACTTGTCACACCAAACACAATTCTCACTTAAACCGCTCCATTGTGTCGTATACTGGGCATGTGGTAGTCGGCAAAAAGGACTTGATTGCAGTTTCAGTCACTTCCCCTTTTAGCCCAGCATTACCGATTGCACGCGTTTGAAACAATATGTTGAATTTTTGAATAATTTTGCCCCGTCTTTCTAGGCGTTATGAACCCCTACACGTTATTTTCATTTTTGATATATTCATCTTAATAAAAAATTAATGGAAGTTTGTGTTCCTTAAACATGGCATACTTCCCATGTAATACTGGTAAATGGCAAATTTCTCATTTTGTTATTTCGTTGTCTAATTTTATTACATATCTTGCAAGGGACCCCACCGTAAATTATCTACAGTTGTTACTCTGGGGGGTGGGGGGGGGGGGGGGGGAGTTAAAGAATCTGTTACTATATAAGGACTCCAAATTTACGATTCTTATCTTCGGTGGTTCACGCACGTCGTCGTAAAGATAATAGGCGCTTTACCCAGAACAGAAGAAAAGACAAAAAATATATAATAATAATAACAATAATAATAATAATATCAATAAAGATGGTATTTATTGCCCGTTACAAAACTGTTCCTACAACCGCTCATGATAGTGGCATGAATATAGAGCAAAAGCATAACATTAGGAGTTTTTAAACTAAACACGATCCGTCAAAACGCCTTGGATGTTGAATGTACACCTACCTGTCCAGGTGTTTTTATAATTAGCTAAATGTTAAAACGAGCAAATGGTTTTCAGATTGAGAACCATTAATTGTAATCAAAGCGTTCCACGATTGTCGATTGCCATTATCCAAGTTCGTGCTGTGCTGGATTATACTTGGCCCCGATCAGGCATGGCGTTAATCCCGCTGAGTAGACCAAAGGCACTTGAACAGATCTTCAGATTCAAAGATTTCTTGTCCACTGTTAATACAATCACGGAGCTACAATCAACCTTTGTTATATACCAGTGTTACGTATCGGCCAGCTGCTTAGCCTGTTTATTAACTTTATTCCGTCCTTTGATGGTGCCGACGCACCGCTGCCGTGTCGCCATTGAAATGAGCAAGCGGTGACTTATTTAATTATTTGGTGACGTGACTTCTTCTGCTTGGTCAGGTTGATAAAAGGGGGCGTTTTCTAATGATCAGCTTTTACCCAATTCATGTAGTCATCAAAGCATAAATTAAAGGTAGCTATGACCTATCAAGATGAATCCCCCTTTTTTGATAAAATAAATGAATGAATATGTAAATAAAACTGTAAAAAAAAAAAAAAAAAAAAAAAAAAAAAAAATTAAATAAAAAAAAATTTTTTTTTTTAAATAAAAAAAAATTATAAATATTTATTATAATTTTTT